TTAAAGGGATACACGCCCGTCGAGGTAGTTTAAAGTCTATTTTTCGTACAAAACTAAAGAGATAAACGGGTATTGACTATAGGTATGCTCATCTGACAGAACACCAGCATCATTGGAAAATAGAGGCTCAGACCTTTCCAAGGAGGGGTCAGAGGTCATTGTGTGACCATTTCAGGTGATGTAACCAGCATGCGGCAGCTTCCTCTGTTTTTCTTATTTTCTATCCAGTTTGGTGATTTTATCGGTAAATTTAAATGAAACAACGACTAAATCTGAGCAGCAAAGGCTTTGTTTTATGCAGAAGGTCTCCAATAATGGAAATCAGCATATTTGTCTGACCAGATTCCCGTTTTATCAGTGGAAATATTGGATTTTTGCATAATTTGGCCACTTTCAGCACTGTGTCAAAATCACATTTCCTCCTAGCACACTGTCAGCTAAAACCTTTATGAAACAAACATGCTTCACCTTCTTCAGTCCAGATTAGCATTAGTTCTAGTCAAGATGTGGATCTATAAATCCTGAGGGTTTATCTAGAGTTTCTAATGGGCTTTATGGTGTTTATTTGTGTTTATAAATCAGACATGGTGACATTTAAAGTAGTGTTTCCACCTGAAAAATATTACTATAATACTAATAAAAACAATATTATTTCCAATTTATACTTTCAATTTATACTTTCAATTTTAAGAGGTTAAACTGTGACTTTAACCCAACATGCTTTCCATTGTGAAACGCCGTGTGGTTTCTTTGGCTCTCATGACATGACGCGGTCCGTTCTGACTAAACACCTCCTTCGGTTTAGTCAACCTTCAAACCCAGCCCTGCCAGGATGGTATTTTTAGTGCGAGAACAGTTTCACCTCAGTGCCAGATGTCAGAGGTCATTCAGTGCATTTCATTTCCTTTGATGGCGAGGTTGCAGCGGCAGCAGCAGAACCCGTGATCCTGACTGCAGCTCTTCTCTCTCCACCAGTGAGCAGGACTCTGGTCGCTTGTCGCGGCGAGGAGGCATCAAGCTGAAGCCGAATGCGAAGGACAGCATGGTGCTGATGCAAGACACGCTGGAGGACCAGGCGAGCGCTGCGGTGAGCGGGCCTGCAGGGAGGGGGGGGAGAAGAGGGGCCACTCTGCAGAGGCGAGCAGGGGCCAGCGCCATGGAGAACCACTTCCCCAAACAGCAGAGAAACTTTACCGCCAAGATCGTCGTCATGGGAGACGACAGGGTCGTGGGTCGCCTTGCGAAGGCGTATTACTTCTACAGGTAGGAAAGTCTCTGAGCCACAAGATCTGCTTTAAACTCTCTGATGATTTAACCCTTTATACTCCAAGTTTCTTCATCATTTGATCACCCCGTCCCTCAGTGAGGTCTAGAAGCACAAGATCTATATCCAGCCATTCAGCAAAGATGCTGCTTCTTCCAAAAAAACTTAAAATCAATCCTCTGGACTTTGTTTCCAAGTCTGAAGACGTTTCTCTTCCATCCAGGAAACTTTTTCAATTCAAAATGTCAAAAATAGCGTTTAGTTCCAGATTTTATAAAGTCTAGAAAACATGAATATTTGTGCGTGCTTTAGTGGTTAGCGCACACATGACCCATGTATGGAGGCCTTGGTCCTCGAAGCAGCCGACCCGAGTTCCCGACCTGTGGTCCTTTGCCACATGTCTCCCCCCCCTCTCTCAGACCCCCTTTCCTGTCAACCTGCTACCTAAAAAACTAACTGGCTTCTTTGTTAGCCTGCAATGCCCCATACCTGTCTATGTCTCAAGAAAAGGGGGGTCGTTAAAGGGAATAGTTGGCCTGGATGAACAGGTGAGGTCTTCTGTTCCCCTATAAAGGGGGTGGGGCTGCGATGATAGCGGGAAGGAATCAACTCTATCGCGACATTTAAGGTTTCGAAAGCTGATATGGAGCATTGCAGGCTAACAAAGAAGCCAAACGACCCCCATTCCAAAGGGGGGGACCCGTTCATCCGTTTCTATTTGCATGTTTTCTAAACTAAAACCAGGCTTTGTTGGGCTGCTGGATAAAACCTGGAACTAAACGCTATTTCTGACATTTTGAATTGAAAAAGCTTCCTGGATGGAAGAGAAACGTCTTCAGACCTGAAAACAAAGTCCAGAGGATTGATTTTAACTTTTTTGGGAAGAGGTGGGATTTATCCCACTGTCAGGTTTTACCCACTCTAAAATAAATCTTATGTTTCCCCCTCATCAGCCGGGCAGATATTTCCAGCAGCAGCATGACTCGTCCTGCAGAATGTAGCCTTGAGCGCTGTGTTTAAGCTGTTGTGTTGTTAGTGACCAGAATTGGTTAGATCAGTGACGTAATAGACAGCAGTGGTGCACAGCCAGCGTGTGATTTAGTGCTTGCCTTTCATGTCTGTGTGCAGGAATGCTGAGATGGACGCTTCATAAAAAGGTTCAGAACAATCCTGCCAACAGCTTATCTCTGCTGTGGGTGCTGATAAAGGAGCTCGAAAAGGTACAGTGTTTGTTTGGTGGGTCGTAAAAACTCTCGAGCTTGCACTTTCAAAGAGGAAGGAAGCTTCAGTCACCGTGGCGACGGCAAATACATGTATTTATTAAAACCACATGGGTGTTGCTCCACAGGCTGAAAGGTGGGATTCCCGCAAGTCCATCATTCCTCTGCTGCACATCCTGATGCACGCCATTGTTCAGGTACTGAGTAGAACCGTCGCTGTCGACTGAATGCATCTGATTTAAAGAC